GTCCGTTTTTCTGTCTGGTTTACCTGAGAGGATTGACATACAGTTTCCTTCAAAACTATTTTGTCTGAGGTCCAATTTCCATTTTGGATGGGATGTACTAATTATTTCTTTATTCACTCTCCTTCTGAGACAGTTGTATTTTCTTTCTTTCAATTTTATTCCTACAAACTCTCACTGAAGGGAAGAAAAGAAGGTGAAGGCAACAAATATTAGTTGAAAACTGCTACATCAGCCATGACTTCCCGACTGAATGGGACAGAGCCTTAAAACTGTAGGAGAAATTTAGAATTGAATCTAGTAAGAATGTTAGATAAGATTTTCCACTGGACAAGTCACACATTAAAGATATATCATGCCACCTGCTGAAGAAGTACCTATAAATCATTGTTGCTTTGATGAGAGATCTATCTATGTCTGTCTCAAAAAGTGATAATGAAAGATTACAAAGAAGTTGTATTTATTTTACACATCTGTTTTTATAGCTCTATGTAAATTTAATCCTTCAGTAACTATAGCCTTGGTCATGCCGCATTCCTAAACACATGTTTTACATTAAGAAACTAAATACTGCCAGTAAATTCAGTGAGATTACTCATGAGCTAATATTTGGCAAATGTTTTAAGATCTTTGCAGCAGCAAAACTGAAGTTAGCAGTAGAACAATATTTTCAACACGTATAGTAGAAATAACATGAACTATAATGTTAAATAGTCAGACAGGTTTTAAGACTAATTTTATTTAATATAGTCCATTCTATATAGCTTTAGGACTTAGAGTGTTTTCCAAATACTACAATTAATTTTAGGCTGTAATTAATAGTTACCTTTACTTCATTTTATAATAATAAAATTTCTCATTATTAAACAAGGAGGCAGTTAAAGACAATGATTGTGGATTATCTAAAGAAATTTATAACACACAATTTTTGGACATGGGTGGGCTTTCTTTGATACTGACATCGACATTTTCAATTATTATTTTTATAACAAACTTAGTTGCTAGAAGGGTCAAAGCCTTCTATATACAGGGCACTAAGTAAAAAGGATATAAACATGCCTGATTTTTTTCAGATGCTGTTGCAATTTCCATCTAAGTAACATTTTAGGAGTGCTTAGCAGGTGCTTCCAATTTGCCCACAGTCTGGAACAGGAGATACAAGACAGCATTCACAGGTACCATAGCATTTAGCCAACAAGTGAAATGCACCCTGCTGACTTAAAAGATATAATGCTTTAAAATATTATCCAAATCTCTTGTGTGGTTACTGAAATCTCATAACTTCTGATGATTTTGAGCGGTTTTGTGCATATAATGATGCTGGAAAAAATCCTGATCATTTTGCACTAGTTGGCTTTGTTAAACTTTCTTCCACTAAATTGACTATGATGTGGAAAATAAGGATATAGAAAATGATGGTACAATGGAGTTACAAATAAAACAGCTGATATTTTAATAATTAAAGGAGGCACACAAATAATGAACCAGAAGAATGACTTGGAAAGCTGCCTTATCTTGGATTTACAAAAGGAATGTCATAATTAAGTTGTTTCTGAGAGGCGACAAAGAGAAATTGATAAGAAACCATCTTGTGGGACATTATTTGATGGGATTAAATATCAAGAAAAGTAAACAGAAGGAATTCAAAATGGATTTATTTGATTATGATTAATATATATATTGTGGTTCCTGATAGCTATTAATTGAATTTATTTTTGACCAGGGCTGAACAATGAGGCTTCAGATATGTTTATAAATGGAGACAGATTTTTTTTGTTTGATTTCTTAGAAAAAAAAAGATAAGTTGGAATACAAAATGGATTTATTAGATCAATGTAAAAATATAATGTGTTCTGCCAGCTCCTAATAAACATTTGCAGATTAGAAGTAAATTAAAGTTTTTATAATTTAATTTTTTTTATAAAGGATGATGTATGGGAAGAATGTATCCTTTTTTATTGAAATATTGGAGAAGGTGTTAAGTTATTGAATTTATTGTTGCCTGAAGGGAGGGGGGAGTCATCCTTGATATATCTTTTTTCCTTATTTTTTTCCTATCACTTTGTATGTATCTTTTTCTTTCCTTTGTTTTTTATATTTTTCTTAGTTCATATCAATCTTTTACCTTTGCATTAATAAAAATAAATAATAAAAAATATTTTTAAAAATGATGTTTTTTTATCTATAGAATCAAAGATTGTGTTGTAAATAAAAGTCCAGATTGCCCCCAGATATTCAGCAAAGACATTTCCCTTTCAAGACTTTAGAACAGGTGGGAGGCCTTGGGCTACCAGAAAGCCAGGAGTTAAGATGCAAAGAAGCAACAGCCTGTTTTATCCATCCTATTATTCTGTGCTTTCAGGTTGGGTCTATTATATAACTTTCTGCATTATAGGTAGTCCTTTTGGGGGATTTTTTTACACTGAATTTCCTCTCTGAAAAGATCTTGGGACTGTTTCTTTCAGTGCTATTACTGGGCATTGAGAGTCTGATTGATAATTTGATAGTGGTAGATTGTTTACAAAAATGATTCACTTTGTTTCAGGTAAGGTTCTTCAGTCTGCACCAGAAACCACCAAGTTGTTGATCAATAATGCATTTCAGCAGAAAAGTATGGCTAATCATCTGAATTTCAGATAGAGAAGTGCAATTACAGGATGTATTTGGAAAGCCTTGTTCCAATTACTGAATGTTAAGATCCATTTATTCTCTGCTCTTTATAATCTTTCTACTTTAGATCAATGCTTCATGTCAACTATCACCAGAACAAATTAGCCTAACTCTGGTTATATTTGTTTTTAACAAGTTAGTTCATTCTTCTACTGATATATCATCATTTCAGGTTTCTTTTGGCTTTTAACCCCACTGCTTAACCAAGGCTACCCCTTCTGTCCTAAATGGTTTAAATATTTATAAGAGATGCAGGTAACACAACTACTTTTCAAAGTGTAGCTAGAATTTGCCAAGACTTCTTACAAGTGTGCTACTGATCATCATTAATAGGCAAATCCTATTGTTCCTTGGGATTATCAAAGTTTCCATTAGGGTTTTTTTGTCCTCCTTGTTGCCCTCCAAGAAATTGGATTTGAAGTTTATTGGTCCCTTCTCTGTAGAGAGTTGGATTAGCCCAGTGGCATTTTGCTTGCAATTGCCAGCCGTGATCAAAATATGCCCATTGTTCCACTACTTCCTGCTAGTTTTAGAGTGCTTTTCAAGGCCCTTGCACTCATTAACCTTAACCCTTCCATCTGTCCTTTTTTTTGAGGGAGGAAGAATACAAATGAAATGTATTTTGGAGTCCCAAAACTTATGGGTAGATTAGAATATTTGATTCATTGATATCAAAAGACTATTCTAAAACAGCCCAAATCCTAGAAATCAGTTCATCATGTGCGTGCATATATGTGTGTGTTTATGATGTAATTTTATATCATTTGGTGTTGCAGCCAATCAAATATTTATTTTATCAGGGTATATCATCCCATCCTCCTCCTCACTTACTTTCTCAATTATAATAATAATCTTATAGGGAGGGTTTTTTGGCAACTGGGCAAAATCTTAGACATACAACATTTTTATATTTGATTGAAGCTTTTTTGGTTATATATGAGTGGAAACGTGGGTACAAATGAGAAATTCAATAAGTAGTATTTGTGTGGTGCTACATTTTCCTTTACATTGCTACATTATTATGTCCAAAAAAAAAAAATCAGTCTTGGGCCTTAATTACATAGACACATCCTCCCACCCCCAATAGTGTGTTTGTGTGTGTGTGTATGTGTGAATTTCAGACATAGATGCAAAACTCTAGATTATATAGAGAATGTTATATATTATAGTGAAGTGATTTTCTGTCTTCTTCTATTTGGGCCAATTAAAATCCTGTTTCAGGATGAAGTAAAACATAACATGGCATTAATTGTGCTGGGGATAATCTCGGGTGGGCATGGAGTATCCATCCTGGCCCTACTTGATGTCTCAAAGGCTTTCAGTACCATGCTCATGATATCCTTCTGAGCCAGCTGAGGAGGTTGGGAAAGGGAAGCACTGTGGTTCAGTCAGTGTTGGTGTAAAGTGTTGGTAGAAGGGGAAGAGGTCCAGCCCAAGGCTCCTGCTTTCTGAGGTGCCACAAAACTCAACTTTCTAATTAGTAATTAGGCCATGATTTCATGATCCTACCATTTCAATGTTGAAAGATCTGTGTTAACTGTCAGTTGCAGGTGGGAAGAAAGTGGGGAAGCGCCTTTGTGCAAGTGGAAAGAAAACAGTATATTAGTTTATACCTGAATAAAGAAACTATTTATAGTTAGTTGAAAAGTGGGAAAGTCCACCCGAAAAATAATAAAATTTGGGAAAAATGCAAGACGAGCTAGTAATGCAGAGCCCCACAATGTTTACCAGATAGAAAAGAAATGGCTGAGACTACTCAGGAAAAACAATATATGAGAGTGGGAATTAGTGGTTTCGAACAAAATCTGAAATATATCTGCATTATTTTCTATAATTATCTGCATTTCTATTTTATCAGATTTGGTTTAAATGAATCTTTGCTTGAAGTGGTGGCTTGTGTACTAATTTGAATTGCTGTAATCTAGATTGATAGACTAGTGCCTTTGAAACAATTCCAGTTCTTCTATTGCTTTCCTGGTGTGCTTTAAATACTTTATAGAAGCTCAGGATATAAAGTTTTATGAAAAATATGTGTTAAATATATTGCTGACTATCAATTCATGTGCAAGGAATGATAAATAGCTCTTTTCCCTCTCATATTTTTCTTTAAATTACAAATTCATGCAGACCTGTCATAATTACATATGTCATTCAAAGATTTAAATGCTTTACATTCTATGTATGTGACTTGATAAATGAACGTTAGTCTAGAGTAGGTGGGACAAAGCCGCTATTTCACGGTACAGTGCAAATAGATTTTGATTTATGTATTCATCCTTTGGCTCTAAATGATTATTGATTGCATAAATAAGTAGGTAATTCTTCTCTTTCAGAATTTTGCAGAAAACACCATGAATGAGCTCCTTGGCTGGTATGGTTATGATAAGGTTGAATTAAAAGATGGAGAAGATATTGAATTCAGGAATTACTCTACAGATGGAGAGAGCCGACAGCACATTTCTGTTCTCAAAGGTAATGGCATTTAAGGTTCATTTGTTCATGCTAAAAAGAAATAGCCACAACAGCTTTCCAAATTCACCTAGGTGGAATTCTACTTTAGAGTCTTAAAAATGGCCTCACATATGATCATGATGGTGTCTTCTATAAAAGGAAGAGCAAAGCATAGTAATAGGGCTCTGCAACCCAACAGCAATTTTTCCCCTCATATAACCAACTCCAAGAAACTATAATGCCAGTGGGTATTGACAAAATCAGGAGAAAAACCCAACACATCTCTCTTTTCTTCCTCAGAAGAAAAAAAAAATCATTTGTGCCTAAACTTTTACTAGAAACCTACAACCTCATGTTCCACCCAAAAAACCCTTAACTTAAATCAATGTAATGAAATTGTCCATGGCACAACACAGCAGTAAGAGGTAATTATCAATAGAACACAGACTTTAGATGTAACAGTCACATTCAGGTTTTCATCTGTAGATCAGAATCCTTTGCCTTCAGAGCTTTTTGATCAGCTCTGTGTCTCATTTTGTTACAGCTTTCTATTCACGTTTGGACTTGTTCATACTAAGGATGAAACACTACAGAGTAATTCTTACTAACTTCTTGCAACTTCTCCCATGTTATATTATATATTATTTTTATGAATAACTCAAGGCGGTTTTCCTCACAACAATAACGTCGTGAAGTGGATTGGGTCGAGGCAGAGTTACTGGCCCAAAGTCATGCACTGCATTAAAACACAGTGTGGTTTGTGTAGTTTTGATTTAATGTAATGCATGAACCCACTTTTTGTAATCTAGGATAGTATCATGTGTTCAATCAGTCATATTTAAAACAAACCATGCCCTAATGCCATATGATAATCTAATGTGCATGGATATGAAACATGTTAGTGGAGAAAATATAATTAAATTGTTTACTAATATTATCCTTTTCAAGATTAACATGCTTTGTTCTGAGTTGAGTGGCATTATTGTGCTGTTTTAATCATTCTGACGAAGTTCCAACATTGAAATGACCTCATTCTTGCTCAATACTCAATGTGAAACACTTTGGAAAGAATGGAAAGGTTTCTAGTAACACCTCAAGTAAGGTCAGAGTAAAACTCCATCTTGCTAATAGTGTGAAGGGTCAAGGAGGGCAGAGAAAAGAGGAAAAAATAATACTTGAAATTGACATACATAGGATATTAATTAGATTCAAGCATTGCACTAAGCTACAATATAATTTGTTTAGTTTTGGCTGAGCACTATTAGTGCATCTCCTTTGAATCCCACATTGTCCTAACGGGAGAAGTAGAATTGAATTGAATTCTTTTGAATGTTAGTTTGGATGTCTGAAATTTTGAGGGTGGTTATAGCGAAGAGTTTTAAGAGGAAAACTATTTTGTTCTTCTTAATTCTTGATTTTTTTATTTGAAATGCAAATGTTTACTTATGGATGAGATGGAATGATACATTCCCAACAACAGAATTCACAGTTTAGAGTTGCATTTAATTATTGAATAATTTTCAGCATGAGAGAAATGCATATCCCAATACTGGACCGAACAAGACAAAAGTACATTTTGTTTTGTTTTGTTTTCTTCCATTTAATCATGCCTGAATTATTGGAGATTGTCTGGACAAATCTCTGCAGGTTTCTTGGCAAGATTTTGAGAAGCGGTTTGCCATTGACTGCTTCCTAGAGTTGAGAGAGAGTGACCAGCTCAAGGTCTTCTAGCTGGCTTTGTGCTTAAAGTGGGGCTAGAACTCATAGTCTGCTAGTTTCTAGCCTGATGTCTTAAATAATTTTAGAATATTGTCTAGAAATTAATCTCCTCTTTCTGACCCATTAAAAACGAAGTGTTAATGGTAACTATTTCTGAAAAACTTTGAGGCTGCAATTCGAGGCTTTTGTGGGCTGTATGTGAACCTGGGTCTTTAAACTTATGTATATATTACACTAGCTTGATACCCGTGCTTCGCTATGAAACTATATGGTTGGGTTTAGTTTTTAGGAGGAAAATAAGGCAAAAAAAAAATTCTGCCTCTGCCTACCAGCATCCATCAGTATTCATCTGGCTAGTGTCCTGTCAGTGTTTGAGGCTATTTGGAAACTGAAACAGTATTTGCTGTGTGAGCAAGAAGGAGACAGCAAGGAGCCTGGGCGTGGCTTAGCTCAACTGTTCTGTACTAAAGCTGGTTGCTGCTGTGAAAGTAAAACTGAAACTCCTCTGCTTGTGTTTTGCATTTGGAACAGATTTCTTTTCAGTTGGGGAGGGGGAGTACAACTCATTAGCATCAGAGTGTGTTAATAATAACATATGAAATACTAATGTTCTGATGGTCATTTAGAAAAATTCTTTCTTAGTGAGCACCTACAAGCCAAGAGGAACATACATGCCAAATTTCAAGTTTGTAGGCTTTACGGTTCTGGAGATATTGTGATGATGTGTGAGTGGTATTTTGCTTTTATGCGTGTGTATGTGTATGTATGTGTGTGTGTGTGTGTGTGTGTGTGTGTGTGTGTGTGTTATTCAGCTTTGTTCGGGTATTTTCCCACGTCATTGTAGTTGTTCTTTTAAAGTTGTAGCAACGTTTCGGCAAAATCTCATCTGCCATCATCAGGCTTCTGTATAGTCTTCATCTGTGAGTCAGACTTTCACAACCATTTCTGTTTTAAATTTGGGGCTAGCCTACACTGTGCCGGAATGGTTTTTTCTTCATCCTGATTGGTTGGGAGTCTTGGTTTGTGTTTACCAGTCTTGGAGTTTGCCATGTTCTGCTTGATTGGTGTTTCTAATATCTTCTGTCTGTTTTGTGGCTTTTTTTGTCTTGATTGGCTGGCAACATTGTGTTTCCTGTATTGGAGGCTTTTAGTGCGGCTTGGCTCCGAGTAAACTGATGGCTATCAATTGTTAGGAAGCTAGGTTTCATCTGGGTGCCTGGTTGGGGTGTGTTTGAGCTGGAGGTATCGGGGGGAGTCTGTTTGTGCCCAGGTGTTTGGCTGAAGCAGCAGCTTCACATATACAAAACTCATACCACCTCTTGGAAATGATCAAAGATCTACATATGGAACAAAAAGATCTGCTTGTAAGTTTCGACGTGGTTTCACTATTCACTCAAGTCCTGATAAAAGAAACTCTTGAAATCATCAAAAATAAATACCAACCACCCAAACACCTCATAGAACTAACAGAACACTGCTTAACCAACACATATTTCATATACAAAGGACAAAGATACAAGCAAATTGAAGGAGCCCCTATGGGATCACCACTGTCACCCATCATTGCAAACCTGTTTATGGAAGAATTCGAATCCAGAGCCCTAGCCAATGTCACCCACAAACCCAAACTATGGCTAAGATACATCGATGACACATTTGTGATTTGGCCCCATGGAAAAGAAAACCTAAACAATTTCCTAACACACCTAAACAACACACACCCCAAAATCAAATTCACCATGGAAACAGAAACAAACAAACAACTACCATTCCTAGATGTACTAATCTACAAAAAAACAGATGGCACACTAGGACACACCATATACCAGAAGAAAACACACACCAACTGCTACCTCAACGCCCAATCCCACCACTACCCAGCACAGATAAACTCCGTGGCCAAACACTAAGTGCCAGAACCAAATGCCTGGCAGACAAGGCACACATAAATACTGAACTATGCACCTTGACTAAAGTATTGACAGCCAAGGGCTTCCACAAAAGCAAAACCACTGGCTTGATCCACAAAATCACACTGAGACATAATGGAGACCTAGAAGATGAACAGACCTATGGAACAGCTGTCTTGCCCTACATAAGAGATACTAAGACAAAATCAGTAAGATACTACACAGGCATCACATCAAGACTGCCTTCAAAATAGACAGAAAAATAGCAGCCATCCTAAGAAACCCTAAAGATAAAATTGACCTGGAAAACCAAGGCATATATGAAGTCCCCTGGGCATCATACCCTGCCACATACATTGGACAGACCAATAGAAGAATAAGTACCCACCTGGATGAACACAAAATGCAGTAAAAAAGCTGGAACACACTTCCTCACTAGTCCAACACATGAAAGCCACAGGTCATAGCATCAACTTCAATGGCACCAAAACCCTAGCCACTATAGAAAACCCCAGCTACGGAATTATCAGAGAAGCCATAGAGATTGAAGAAAGACCTGAAAGCATGAATAGAAGAGATGACTCCACCAGACTGTCAATTATCTGGAAGCCTGCACTTTCAAACAAAACAATCTCTATACCACAAGCCAGCCAAACACCTTGGCACAAACAGATCTCCCCGATACCTCCAGCTCAAACATACCCCAACCAGGCACCCAGATGAAACCTAGCTTCCTAACAATTGATAGCCATCAGTTTACTCGGAGCCAAGCTGCACTAAAAGCCTCCAATACAGGAAACACAATGTTACCAGCCAATCAAGACAAAAAAAGCCACAAAACAGACAGAAGATATTAGAAAAACCAATCAAGCAGAACACAGCAAACTCCAAGACCAATAAACACAGACCAAGACTCCCAACCAATCAGGATGAAGAAAAAACCATTCTGGCATAGCAGTAGGCTGCCCCAAATTTAAAACTGAAATGGCTGTGATAGTCTGACTCACAGATGAACACAATACCGAAGCCTGATGATGGCAGATGAGATTCTGCCGAAACGTTGCTACAACTTTAAAAGAGCAACTACAATGATGTGGGAAAATACCTGAACAAAGCTGAATACCATACATGTAAGTACCAGTGAAAACTTAAGAAAACAAATACTGTATGTGTATATATGTGTGTGTGTGTGTGTGTGTGTGTGTGTTTATCTTTGGTTATTCGGGTTTTCTCCTGTGTAAAATTGGAAGCATCTAGGTGATGTTTCAACAAAATCTCATTCGTCATCTTCAGGCTTGTGTCTTCGGCTTTGTGCTTCTTGCAGTAATGTGAGCTTGCCACTGCTTCTTCCTTTTAACTGCTAGTGGGGGTGTGACTTGATTGCATGCGGCC